TTTGAAGAAACTAAAAAACATCCACAACCTCACTTCCTACAGGTTTACTCTAGGTTTAATGCTGTGCTATATATCCTTTTAAACTATTTTTTGTTTGATTATGTGTTTTCACTGGGCTTTAAAAGTAAAGACCTAAGAGAGCCTCTGGTGGCCTAGTGGCAAGAAGCTGCCATGCAGTCCTAAACTTAAAGGCCTGAGCTGACACAGGGTTTCTTGGTTTTAAATCAACCTTTTTTTAAAATCACCCACTTTTTGTTTTTTAATTTTATTTTAATCATTTTAAAAAATAGATTTAATGAACATTTACAGAGATTTTGGATTTCCATTCATTCATTGCTGCACTTTTCTCTTTGAAAAGTAAAAGAAACACTCCCTCCCTGGTACACAATCCTCCCACACCTCTCCCACTGCCCCATGTACATTCCACTATGCAACTTTAATTGTAGACTCTTGTGAACATTTTTTAAAAATCACATTCATATGTGATTTTTTATGTGGTTTTTAATGGATTACTCTGTAGAAAATACTTGAGCTCATCCTCTATATCTGTTTCTCAGGAGTAAGAACACTGGACTTTCTATGACTAACATTGAGTTTTGCTGAATACCATGAAGTTTAACAACAATTTAGATAAATATGATTTATTGAGTAATCTACCTGAAGTGAATGAAGTAGCATCTAAGTAAGACCTGCTTTAAGTGGAATTTTGTTGTTTTAAATAATATTCTAAAGGGTGGTAGCACTGTTAAATAAGTGTGCTTTTGCTGTGTCCACATTTTCTTTCTACGACAAAATTGCTTGGATATGATATACAGAGTAACTTGAATAGTAGAATTTTGTCTTCATTTTTTGAGATACTGCTTGAATTTCTATATGTAATTTGTAAGCAATTTCCATTTTAATATGACTGAGTTTTTAAGAGTAGATTAAAAATTTGCGTATAGTGTGTTACACCTTTGACAATGAACGTTTTTCTGGTTTAGACTCTCCCCCCACCCCCAATAAATTATTTGCTTTTATTTAAAAAACAAAACAAAGCAAAACAAGTCTCTGTGTAATCCCTGGACCAGAAATCAATAATGAGGTGGTCTGGTTTTTGTTGTTTTGTTTTTGTACTATACCCAATAGAAAATAATTTAAGATAGGACTATATATTTGACCTTGTGATGTAACTTTTGGCATTTCTTTACAGGTACCTGGAAGAATTCTGTGGAAGAGTGGACAACAGAAGATTGGAATGAAGATGTAAGTGTTTACTGATGGGTCTGACCCATCTTTCTTTTAGTATCAGGTAGGGCATGTATACGTTAAGGAGAGCCTTACCCCTCTACACACACACCTGCACACCCTACTCCTCACCCCCAACAACCCTACCCCTGAGCTTAAGCTCCTAGTGAAGTGGCTTTTTATGGAATTGGTCAGATGGAAACTGGGGCTTTAAGATTCTTAGAGAACTTAGATTTAAAATGACCAGGAATTAAATAGAAGCAGCATATTTTTTAGCTTTTCTTTCTTTTGTGTGACTTGTAGTCAGTCAAGCCATATAACCCTGTTACCCTGGCCTATGAACCATATGTACTTTAAAATGTTTTCATTAAAAGAGAGTTGGCCACAGTTGATGTTGATCTATATAGTTTATCCTGTTCCAGTCCCCATCTCTTCTTCTTTTGCTTAGAAGAATTCCAAGACATAGACATTTTTATGTATACTTAGTTTTGATTTATCATCCTGAATTCTCAATTATGCATAGATCATCTTTGTAATTAAAAGTTCTTTGATAATTTAAAAAATAGGAAGTAACTGAATTTTGGTTTTGGGGATTTGGACAGATAGATGCATGTGCTTGACAGAGTTTGATCATACATTAGCTGGGAAATAATAAGTGGGTTAAAAGTAGTCTTTAAAAAAAATCACTTAGAGTCAACCAGACTTTAAGATGAATTATTTCTTTCTCATATGAGCTGGTAGGCCCTATTTGGAATAGGAAAGGGGGAGTAGAATTCCTTCCTGTCCTGTTTAATAACATTGGACACGACACTATTCCTTGGGTCTTGGTTTCTTTGTGAAAAAGACAACCAGTAAGTCTTCACAATATTACTTGGCTTCTAAATGGTATGTTAACAACTCTGTACCTTATTTTTCCATGCAAATTTTTCTTGTAAAATGTACTTGGTTGACTCATAAAACCCTAAATATGCTTGTTTCTCTTCTCAGTGTTATTATATCTGGCTTGTTAGAGGTGTGGTATGAGGAAGGATGGGAATAGTATGCTCATTTTATTGAGATTTCAGTTTTATATTCACTGCTGACTTGATCAGCCAGAGGCCCTTGGATGTCACTTGGCTGTTACTTGTAATAGGAGGAGACTAAACAGATAATGCTCTGGTGGTGTAGTGGTTAAAGAAGTACACTGCCCAATCAAACCACATGATTTGAATATACCAGCCTATGAAAAACTGATGGAGGATCCAACTATGGGTTGGTTCTGACTCACTGGTAGTGAGTTGAGAATAGTTAAGAGAGCTTTGCCACCAAGTCTGAAGTGTGTATGACTGCTGACCAGAAGACCTTAAGCCTCCACTGGAGAAGGATGGACTTAAAAAATACCAAAAAGGAAAAAAAAAAGAAAAGAAAAACCCGTGCTTCAGAACCTTAATAGAGGATCAGTCTGAGTAGGGATAGTAGTGACAGGAGTATGTGCTTATTTATACCAACGAAATCAATAAATAATGCAGAAACTTTTTCTAGAGAAAGGTTAAACTATCTGCATTCTCCTTTCTATTTGAGGAACTGTCATTGTTAACATGTAAATACATCAGGTGGTGAAAGCTGACCATTTCCTGAGCGAATACCAGCTTCATTTTTCACTAATTTTATGTGGGGACTGTTACCACTATAAGCATTTAGGTCACCACTTTGATTTGGTCCTGTTAAAGTTTTTTGAAAGATTCTCTCTCTCTCTCTCTTTTTTTTTTTAAAAGACTTTCTTGATGTAAGATATTTGTTCCAATACATTTTTCCTGCCCAAATAAATCTAGCATTTTGTTGAGTACTGTCAAGTTGAAACTGAGCCTCCAGTGGATTTTCAGAGGCAGTAAATTTCACAGGAAAAGTTTGCCCATCTTTTTCTTGCAGAGCAACTGGTGGATTCAAACTGCATGCTTTCAGGATTGCAGGGCAGATTCTTAACACCAGAAACTCCCCATGTAGGCCATATAGTGCTAAATTTTATTTTCTATTCTTAGACTTTGAGGAAACTTTCTGTTCCACTTTTAGTTTGTACTGCCATCTAGTGCTGGCATGAATAACTGAATCTGAAGAAAACAGACTTCCTTCCAACCCTTAATACTTGTGACTTTCTTGGGTCATATGTGCCCCTCAAATTGTATCATCATCCATATTGACCCCCAAAATGTTTCCCCATTTCCAATGAAATATGTTTCACAGCAGTAGCAATAGAAACAATAGTAGTAACAGCAACAACGAACATATGGAAGGAAGAGGAAATATGGGGAAAAGTAAAAATATTTAAGGTAATTGGGGAGAATTTGAAAATTAATGGAATGATCTCTGAGTAGTTGTAGAGGGAAAAAATGTTTTGCAGTACACACAAAAGGAAATTTCAGTTTATTAGGAAGATTCCCTTAGCCAGTTTTTTTCTCCCAATAAATTTCAGTACATTTTTAAATTTAATTTAATTTTATTTTTTGTGTGTACAGTCAAATCAGATCTGACTGGTATAGGAGGAGATTGCCCCTCCTTCTCTAGCAGAGCATCTGGTTGATTTGAACCGCATACCTCTGGGGTTGCAGTGCAAGTAAATATTTTTTTTTTCTTCTTTCAGATGTAGGCATTTTCAGGGACCTTAACGATCTCAATACCCTTAAGGCTCGTACCATGGCTTTAATATTGCCAGCTCTAAACATGTTTCTGCAGCAAGTAAATATTTTTTTTAAAAAGTCAAACCTAAATGTGTTTCATTACTAAAAACACATGATTGCAACAAAAGTATTCAAAGTATGAAAATGTTTTATCTCAAAAGGGTTAAAAATATTTAATATTTTTTGTTTTAAAATCGGATAGAAACCTGGTCGTTTACTCAGACCTTGCTTGAGTGTTTCTAGGATATCTGATTTTACAGTGTTTCAAAGTTAGGATTGTAAAATAGTAAACCTTTGAACAGCACTTTCTTTGGCTTCTCTTGTTATTTCTTAGCCTTCAAAAGACCATGGTTTGCTTTAAAAAATAAAAAAGCACATTTTCATTAATAAGCGATAAACTTTAAAAAATACTGTGAGTGACTGGCAAGTGAATTAAAAAAAAATCCATGCATATCATTTATGCTTTGTGAAAGAAGCTGGGCTGAAAAAGTGTATACTGTATGATTTCACTTAAAATTCTGGAAAATGCAGCCTGCTGTTTTATGGCAGAAAGCTCGTTGATGATTGGGAGCATTGTGAGTTTTGGACAGGAGGAAACATTTGTGGGTGATTGAGTATGCTAATAGAGTATACATTTAAATTTAAATATTTTACAGTTTATGTCTTTTGTATTTAATAACTTATTTTGAAAGCAAAGAAAGCATGACATAATAATCACAAAATACAGTTTTCTAATAAATAGAGTACAAAAGCTTTTTCAGCTGACTTTTTGGTATTTATGGTAAATACCAGTAATTTGTTGATAATCTCGTGTATAGTGGCAAATACACAATAGTAGGACTGAGACTTGATTCTGAGTGGTAGCTCACTGGTTTGTCTTCCTTATTATCTGTCATTGATATGATGATGTGAAACCTTTATTTCAGATGTGTCCATCTAAAATTGTTATCACCCTAAGAAAATAGATTGCCATAACTCCATGTATATTTTCTTTCATTCAGATCCCCTTTTGAGTGCACTACAGTGAGAGTATTGGTGATTGAAAGTTGGTAGAGAATTTAATACATTTTTGTCCTTTCATAGAATTAGATTAGAATCTTTTTTCATACTTCCCTACAGCTGTCCGAAACAAAAGTCTTCACGGCATCATCTGTTCCCGCAGAGAATCATGTGACTCCTGGGCAAAGGTAAACCTTTTTTGCTGCCATAACTGACCATTTTTGCTTCAGTGAAAGTGTTTTGGTTTTTGGATCTCTGTATTTTCCCTTTCCCATGTAGTGTAACTATTGCTTTACTCCTAACCTGTCTGTCAGCTGATTGATTGTATTCAGTTGATAGCTAATTGGTTTTATTTGTTGTTAGTTTTGGCAAAAAAAATTCTTTTAAACTGTGCCAATACTATACTGTTTTATTATTGAGGGTTTATAATATGTGTTTTTTAAAAAATTTTCTTCTAGTTTATTTACAAAATTTTAATACATTGTTTTCAAGAACAAGTTCTTTACATTTCCCTCACCACCACCACCCCCACCCCCGCCCACTCCCATCAACTTGTACAACCTGATGATGAATCCTCTCCCTGCACATCCACATCCCTCTGCTTCCAGCCTCTCCCACCCCTCTTGGATCCTCATACTCATTTTACAATAATGATTTTATGGCAAATGTTTTTAAACCTGTTTAATTCTTGCTCTTTTTACTTTTCAGTGGTTATCTTTTGATAAAATGAACTAAATAAATACAGAAGATCCTTTGGTTTCTTCATGTAATAACATTGCTTTAGATTTATCAGGCTAATATAAACTTCTGGTGCCCATTTTAATCTACTAGGATTCTGAATTACAGAAAACTATTCAAGTTTTGGGGATAATAACAGCATTCATAAAATGTTTCAGAACTTAATTACTGAAGATAATTGACATTAATTCACAAGTGGTATAGTAACTATAAAAATCTTTAATTATGGTTTCAAATACAGTGATCTAGAAGAATGAAAATCTTTATATGTGGTACCTTAGAAATTAAGGTACTTTTGAATTTAAAGTCCTGAAACTCTTGGTTGTAAAGGGGAGGGACCTATTAAGGGCACCCTCTTGAAATACTTTTTATATTTTCTTATTAATTTAATTCTGGATATTTTCTTATTTATCAGATATTTTCCTTTTTTTAAAAAAAACTCAAAACAATCACTGGACTTTAAAAATAATGATTAATTTTTCAATGTATACATACTACTTCCCCCGATATCTATATCAAAATGAGCTCTAGTGGCATGATGTATGTTGCATTGTGTTCAAATACCAGCTGCTCTTACAGATGGGGGCTTCCTCTCATAAAGAATTAGAGCCTAAAAAAAAAAAGAATTAGAGCCACAGAAAGCCAGTGGGGGGGGGGTCACTGTGAGTTGGACTTGCCTCGACAGCAGTGGCTAGTAGGGGTGGTACATATCCTGTGAAACTTTTTTGGGAAAGAATTTGCTGTATTTTTTGTAGCCATGCATATTTTGTGATGTGACCTAGCTAAAAAAACTACTTTGGATTGTATCCCTGGAGTTATACTTTAAGAAAATAAAATACTCTGTGTGGTCCAAAATAATAGGGAACACATTCTGGCTATGGAAAAAATGAGAGCAGTGTTGTATAAAAGGAACATGGCTGGAATTTTGCTTTTTGTTAGACCAAGTTTATCTGCAGATTCTATGATAGATACTAGGTTAATGTGGAGAAAATTGACACAGAAGTTAGCAGCTCACTCACACATCTGTTAGACCGTATCTGGAAGATCATTTCCCTCTCTTGCTTTCAGATATTTGACTGTGTTTCTCAAATTGGAATAATGTAGAGATAATCTTAAGAGTTCTAGTTAACACAGTGTAGCATTGTATCTGCTGTATTGAATATTTTCTCCTAAATATTTAGGTAAGAGAATGATGAAATTTATATAAACTTAAGAATATTCTAGAATAAGAAGCAATACTTACAAGGCTCTTTTAGGATAAACAGAAGACTGCTTCAAATGGTCTTTCATGGCCTTCATGCCTCAAGAATATACATTTGCAATGAGGGAAAGTGTGGTTTGTTGTTGTTTTTTTAAAAAAAATCCCAAAACCAAACTCCACACTTTATTTAGTGTATTGTTTACTTAATTGTGCCACATTTTCAAGTCAATCATCACTGTGCTATTGCTGTGGAAATTTCCCACTACACTATTTGGTTTCCTTTCTTTGCAAAGCCCTGCTTCAGTCTTTGTGGCTTCGTATGTTTTGTTTGATACACTTCTTTCTGCTCCCTCAAACTCCAGTTTCCCAAGGTTGTCCTTTAGATAGTTTTTAGCATGAATTAGTTTATGTTGATTCACTTCTCACGTTCATTTTTTGGTACAATTTGGTTTTGACTGGTTCCTCATTTGCTTTTTGTCTGCTTAGCATTGATCTGGTAGCCTTGCTTCAGAAGCCTGCTCCTCCCAGTCAAGTCTCAGACGTCAACTCCTTTGAATCTTCCCAACAGCAGGGCTTTGGCCAAGCCCTTGTCTTCACAAATTCGCAACACAACAATCAGATGGCATCAGGGAATGGCAGCTCCTCTGCTGTCAACTCCTATTCTTCTCAGAGCCTGGTAACTCACCTTTATTTCAGTATGGGACTTTTAAGGAATGTACCCCTGGGTAAATGTATGCTAGCATATGACACGTGATTTACAGTTATTTTTGAAATATAAAAATTTAGTAAACCTCAGTCCAGAAAACAATGATGTAGTGATTTCCAAGCACATATCTGAGGATTCCATGTGGAATTAAGTATGCTGAGTTTCCTGGACAGAGATTAAAAAATAAATAAATTAAAAAAATTATGATTAGTTGAGTTCTTTTTAGTCTTAGTCAGGTGGAAATCATCCTTCTTAAAAGGTATTCTTTTTTTTTTGTTGTTGGTTTTATTTTAGCACCTACCACTAGCCTTAAGAAAAATTTTAAGTGCAACAGTGAATGAATGGAAACCCTAAGTCTCTGTAAACTTTCATTAAAATTAATTTAAAAAAAAATTGTTTTCCAGTTGCCCTAAGAGTTTATTATTATTGACTTGCCAGAAAATAATGCAAAATTCATTCTTTACAAGTCTGTCAAGGTGCTTTTATGTTTTTCATTTCTTTGTTATTCCATTAAATCTACATTTTCTCCAAATTCTAAGCCATAAAAGAGATGCCTGAAAAAAATAAAAATAAAAAGAGAGGCCTGTCTAGTTTGGGTGTGTTTTCATGAAAATCATGTCATCAGTGCTGTGTGTGTGACTGACTTCCTGTGAGGGTTAACTTCCCATCACAGAGGACTTCAGGGACTTCGGTGGAGCATTAGAGGATAGATTGAGTACAGCATGTGGAAGAATGTGTCTGCAGAGCAGTGAGCCGCCTAGTTCTAGGACATTTTGCACTGGCGGTGGGGAGGTGGAATACTGACCACACAGGCCCAGTTTTCACTTGTGAAATGATTTTGTTCAGTCTTTATTGTATTTTACTTTAAATTTACTGTTAGGAAACAGTATTTTATGAATGTTATAATCTTTCTCCGACTCAAATCATTAGCTATTACCTGATATGAAGAATTCAATATGGAACCTTTTCCATTGCTTTACGTGTTGCATCTGTCTAGTCACTTCACCTGGCTGGCTTGGAAAGTTGACATTTTTAGTGTTACCAGTGATTGTGTATCAGATAATGTGAAGGCTTGAAATAGGTCAGAGGAAGATGACATCTGTTTTGAGAAGATCCCATAAAAATCTCTCTTTTTTTTTTTAGTTGACTCATTTATGCCCGTTCCTCTTCTGCCTTCCATCCTCTGCTAGAATGATGATACAGTGTCCTTGCTAACTTGTTGATATCTCAACAAGGTCAATGAAATGATAGGTCATTTTTCCCAGTGACCTTTAGATGTGTTGTTTACTTCATAACCTAGGCCTTGAGAAACTGGAGTGGGAAAGATTTAATTATACAGTTCTTAACCCTAAAATATAAAAATTTGAGGACGTTAAAAACAATCATACCAGGATATACATGAGATCAAATGTCAGAATCTTTAGGATTGGCTTTGGGCATATGTGTATTTGTGTGTTCGTGTGAACATGTATATATACACACACATCTCTCTCAGTGCACAGGTTTGTTAAAGTTCCCCTGTTGATTCATATCCCGCGGGGATTGAGCCGCTAAGTGTTACCTAGGGCAAGGCAGTAGTAGTTATTAACTCAGTGATTTAATTGTTCCTTTGAGGCCAGGCAGAGATTATATTAGAAAAGAAGGGTAAAAATAAACATCCTCCAGGAACCCTCCACTGAAGGAGAGGGCTTGAGCAGGGTGGGGCAGGTGGTAAGTGGCAGAGCCCAGCTGCTTTCCCAGGAGAAGAGGTCATGCGGTACCAGAAGGTTCCTTACCTAATGTTTACACTCCTCTCCTCAGAACACCATAGCACTTCATGCCTTTGAATATTTATGATAGAAATAATTACTCTCTGTTTTCTATATTTGGCCTTTTGGAAGAATGCAAAGTATTACTGGTTTTGACTCATTAGATGGTTTTGAAATGGTTTTTTAACAGGGACTTGTCTTTCAGCAGATGATCTTTCTCTATAAAAATGCGTTTGACTTAACACTGTCTTTGGACTTTGACTGTCCTTGGATCCTGGTAGCTGCCCTGCCAGAATAGATGGGGCAGGTGTACACTTTCATTTGTTTGTTTTTGTCTTGATGACCTGAACTTTATTTTAAACACTTTCATTCAAAATGATTTATCAGTAACAGAAATCGATGAGCATTTCATTTCATGCAAGTTCTGTTTTTATAAATAGCTGGGTAAAAAGATGTAAAACTGGTGTTAAGTACTTACATTGCTATTTAATAATAAGATTATCAATGGTTCAAGATGAATATATGTATATATACATAATTTAATAATTAACCTTCTTGCTTTTAAATGTCTGCATGTTATATTTAGTTAATTACAAATGTCAGCATGATGGATTTAATTGTCTAATTATGATTAACGATGGAGGAAGTATATAAAGAATAGAGAAATTTTCAGCTGTTTAAGGAAATAATGTCATTCCATGAAAGTTCACTAAAGTAGCAGTAAGACAATGCTGCCTTCTTGTTAAGCAGCTGCTTGTGTCATTTAGTGCGGTTGGTGTTTTGTTAGTGTAAAAAACATAACATGTTGGACTGCTAACTCAGAGGCCTGTGATCTGAATCCTCCAGGTGCTCCTCAGACGAGAGAGGGACAGTCTCTTGCTGTAGACAGTTATAGCTTCAGAAGCTCAGTGGAGTGTTGCCATGAGTTGGAATTCACTAGATGACTGTGTTAGTTGGAAAGCGGAATTTAGACAATGAGCTTGTGATACCAGTTTTTCTTCTTTTTAAATTACTTTTTCAAATCTGTTGTCAAACATTCCTCTTTAGCTTTTTGTTAGAATAGATTCTTGTTTCGTCAGTTACTCCTTTTCATGTGGTGTTTTCTTAGGTGAATCTTACTGTTTGAGGTGTTCTGGTTTATTGGATGTGTTCTAAAGCCTGGGGAGAAACCCATGTTGCTGAAAGTTTCTGCTCTTCTTTCCTTTTAAAGTCATCCGTCCTCGGTTCAGGATTTGGAGAGCTTGCACCTTCCAAAATGGCCAATATTACTAGCTCCCAGATTTTGGACCAGTTGAAAGCTCCAAGCCTGGGTCAGTTTACCACTCAGAGTTCCCAGCAGAATAACACAAGTCCTCCAATCACCACTTCTTCTTGGGACCTCAAGCCTGCAGCATCTCAGTCTTCAGTCCTCAGCCATTTTGGTAAGTGTTCATTTCTATGCAGGTTTTTCCCTATTGAAGACATGATAGACATTAGCAAAGCTTATTGACTTTGTGAACACTAATATGAAATTTGTAATACTGTTTTTTTGAAAATATTACATAGTATTAATATGGTTTCTGAAGTCAGTCCATTAGCTTTGTATTGTACAAAGAAATTCATCCATCTGTGCCTTTAGGAGATACGCAAAACCATGGTAGAGGCATTTAGATCTAAGGAAACAGTGCTTTGAGTAAACACGTAGTTTTTTGAGTAAACACATAGTTTTCTGAACTCTGTTAGAATAGGTTGAAGACAGAAAGTGGAATGTGGGAAACCTTTTAACCCCCATTTCTTGTGATGCTTTCTTGTTCTCATGTGCTTCCATCTACCATGATTTGGTCACCTGCTGTTTGCTGTGTTTATGGTAAAGATACCATGTGTAAGTTGCATGTGTTCTAAACTACACCTCCACAGAAATTGTGATGTTGAACACTCATTCTTCCATCAACACACTCACGCCACACTGTATTAAAGGATATCAATGAGTTGCTTTAACCATATGGTCAAAGCAGAAAAGACAAATTTCTCTTCTCAGTGAAATGATTTATTGTGTTGGAGTCCCTAGGGCTACTCTGATGTGTGAAGTATCGTCTGCCTAGGAAGCTCATTAGCAGAGTGCCTGGGGTTTTTGTTGGGTGCTGATCATATTGGCAAGAAGTCCTAATCAGGTACTTAGTTACTAACTGAAAACTCAGTAGTTCAAACCCACTAGTGTCTGGGAGAGAAGACTCCTCCCATGAACTTGACAGCCTAGACTGCCGGTCAGATGTCATAAACCTTTTATTAGCTGTGCTGCGGCAAGCCTAATAAACAAATCAATACCAAAAAAAAAAAGAGAGAGAAATTGACAGCCTAGGAAACTCGAGAGAACAGTTCTCCACTGTAGGGCCACTGAGTCAGAATCGACATGATACACACCTAAGTCGAGTAGGCTGTTGGGAATTCTCAGACACCAAGTTCTTGCATACTAGCCAGAGGCTGACCTTGCAGGTAGGCCTTTCTAGAAAGTAATTTTAAGCCTCCTATGCTATTTTCATCGTGGGCAGGTTTCCTAAGTAGTAGAAACTCTTAGAAAGTCTGTTTTCTGGATTTTTTTTTTTTAATTTTATTATTTTTGTGTGCGTGTACCGTCAAATCAGATCTGACTGGTACAGGAGGAGATTGCCCCTCCTTCCCCGGCAGAGCATCTGGTGGATTTGAACCGTGCACCTCTGGGATTGTAGTTGCAGCTTCTTGCCACTAGGCCACCAGAGCTCCCCTGTTTTCTGGATTTTGAGGTGACAGACAACACAACTTCAGTCATATAATGCCATCACCCAAATCAAAGTGCCAAATAGATCAGTTAATTTAAACATGATGAATTAAGAACCATGTTGCTGGGTAATTGGCATTGGTTACAGTTGCTGAGCTTTGAATAAAAACTGAACGCTTAACCACACTGTGCCAAAAGGTTCTTGGCATTTGTCATGCAGTTAGCAAATAACTGTGGACACATGCATGTTATTCAACTGGACAATGTCTGTAAGAACTGTTGGTGATTGTGGTGATTGTGACTTCATGATTAGGATCAGACATGGGGCAAGAGGAAGTCTTTAACTGCTAATTAATTGATTGTAATGTACATTGTTTTTTTCTTATTTAATAGACTTCAAATCTCAGCCTGAGCCATCCCCAGTTCTTAGCCAGTTGAGCCAGCGACAGCATCAGACCCAGGCAGTCACTGTTCCTCCTCCAGGGCTAGAGTCCTTTCCTTCCCAGGTGAAACTCCGAGAATCAGTTCCATCCGGCGATGGTACCTCCACTGTGAACAAACTTTTGCAGCTTCCCAGCATGGCTGTTGAAAACATGACTGTGTCTGCCCACCAACCACAGGCCAAACACATCAAACTCCCAAAACGACGGATACCTCCTGCTTCTAAGGTGAGCATTCCATTGTTGAAGTCTCAGTTTCCGAGGTGATTTAACATCTGACTCAAATAATAGTTTCTTAAATCTCAGAAATTGAGAGGTGGTGTTTTTCAAGCACATAGCTTATCACTTATTGAGGAATCAGCTATTTCTAGATGACTGGGCGAATATCAGAGGGTACCTGCTAAGAGCTGGAAAACTGAGGTCCTGCCTAAGAGAATGTATGGTTCTTGTATGTTTAACTGTGTCCTATGGTTAAAAGATGCTCAGCAGTTCTCTCACCCACAGAATGAGGTTCCTTGTCAGTCATACGTTCAGCACAAGTACATCTGAAAGAGTAGTCATTTGGTACCCACGCCTCTTTCCTTCGGTCCAGCTCCAGCATGTTCTCTATTACTGCTTTAAGAAGTAGTGGATGGCATTACCCGTAACTATTTCCCTGTTAATTATAATTTTTATTTTTCTATTTCCTTCCCTTTGGAATTTGAAATTCCTGATCTTTATTCCTGACATGATGGCTTTGATTTCAGATTCCAGCCTCTGCAGTGGAAATGCCTGGTACAACAGATGTCATAGGATTGAATGTTCAGTTTGGCGCCTTAGAATTTGGATCAGAACCTTCCCTTTCTGAATTTGGATCAGCTCCAAGCAGTGAAAATAGCAATCAGATTCCCATCAGCTTGTATTCAAAGCCTTTAAGGTACGCAACTTCATGATTCTCTTGTTTTGCCTGAACTAAGCCCTCTATTTGCAAAACAGCCAAAACTAAACCTAAGAAATTATGTTTTGGAGTGGGTAATAGGTTTTGGGGAACCATCACAATAGTCAAATTCCAGAACTTTTCCTTTTACCGCATGAAGAAATGTAGTACAACTCTTACTTCATTCCTAATTTTCCCTAATCTTCTTGGCAACCAGTAATCTACTTTCTGTAATTGCATATTTTGGTCAATTTTTATAAATGGAATATAATAATATCCTTCTCTTAGCAGAATATTTTCAGAGTTCAGCTATGTTGTATAACAAGTTTGTCTTAGTTCTGTTGTGATGCGTTAGCAGAAATACAGGTGGATGACTTTAACAAATTTATTTTCTCACAGTCTACTTCTGGGTGAAGGCTTTCTTGGTCTGTCAGCTCTGGAGGACGGTGCTTGTCTCTTCTGAGCTTCCGCTCCTGGGTAATCATCATGTGGGTTGGCATCTTTCTGCTCCCATCTCTTCTCTTGCCTGATTTTTTTAAAAAATATGAATATCTGAAAAGAGATTGACTTGACACTCTCTTGCACCAGACCTTATTAACTAACCAAGCGAAGATAAGCAGTTTCCACTTGACATAAGCAGAAAAACCAAACCCACAGGCTTCAGGTTGGTTCTAACATGGGAACCTCCCCCGTCGTATTTTCCAAGATGATAATGGGAATTGACTGTCTATCTTTCTCCTGCAGATCAAGCTGGTCGTGTCAGACTGCTGACCTTTTACTTCGCAGACACTAGGTTTTCTTTATAATCAGTCAAAGAGGTTAGCATTTACAGTGCATCGTTTTTTGGAAGGCAGCTATGCTCACCACTATATGACCAACATAGTGCATAGTTTTTGATGCCAGAGTTTAACAAGTACATTAATGCTTCATAATAATTCTGAATAATTGGCCCTGGTGTGTGCTATGCTTAAGGTGTTTGCTAACCAAAAGGTCAGCAG